TTATTATTATATTTTTTATTTCATTGTTATTCAGGAACATTGATATAAAATGAAGGAGCAGAAAGACATTTCAATGTAGACCAAGATAATCTGTAAAAAGATCTTTACTTCATTGTAAAGATTAACCTTTATATTGAAGTTAAGGTTAATTTCTAGTGGATTCTTGTGCTGTGGAAAATGTTGAAACGAGCAGGAGCACTGTAAAATATGAAAGATGAAAATATGTAATAGGTCTGCATAAAGAGGGAAGATATGCAATGAGGGATGTCCTGAAGCTTCTCTTCTGCATGCCAGGAAAGCACAGTATGAGAAATTACATGAAAAATGTATTTATTTTTTGCTTCTGAGAAAATTGTCCCTGGTGTGAGTGTGTGTGTGTTTGTATCTGACTGTGCCCTGCGATGGACTGGTGTCCCACCCAGGGTGTATTCTGCCTTGTTCTCTGGGATGTTTGCCGGGATTTGCTAACCTGTATTGAAATGGCTAGAAAATGGTTATAGCCTTCTAAAGATGGATAGTAGCATTTTAAAGAATAAATATGAAAAAAATAGTATTGTCATGCTTTCTCAGGTGGAAATGTGAAATAATGGAAAAAGGAATCTCCACTGAGGCAGTATGAAACTACTATTTATTAATACAGACTCATTTTTACTTTTCCAGACCTTAAGTATGCTTCCTGGGCTGTAGTCTCTCACCTCGGTGCTACAAAGAGACCCCCATTCAATGCCCCCAGACAGGAGATAGCCACCAAGATGGGCATCACAGTGGAGAAGCCATGGAGTGTCCTGTCAGCAAAGGTCTTCCACCAACAGAGAGAAAACATTTTACGATTACTTTAGCATCTTTACTTTCAGTGTCATTAACCCATGGAAAAAATATTTTGTGAGTTTGACCAACCATCTAGACAGGTGTAGTCTAAATAAAGTCTCTGAGATGTCAGTTTATTGATAAAGTAAAATGTAAAGACAGTCTATTGAATAATAATAATTTGTACTTGTGGTGAGACAAATATAGAGTAAGTGCTGCCAAAGTCCTCCTCTTCAGAGCACATCACATTTACTGTACAGCTTGCTATAGTTTAATATCACAGATGGCAATAAAATAAGAACATTTTCAGCCACTTTAACTGCTGAGCATATTTATATTGAAATAAATTCTCTCTTTTTATAAAATACCGCAAATAAAGTAGAAAGATGTCAGCTGAGATACGTTTGTGAGCAGCATTTCTGGCATTACCAGCCTGGTGAGTTATCTGAAAGAGCCCCCAGGTTTCTGTAAATGATACTATGGACCAGGAGTGAGCATGAGACACCTCTGTTGAATACAGACCACAGCTACAGCTTCGGAAAGGAGGACCTCTTCGGCTGTCATCACTGCATAGTAGGCAATATTAATCAGCACGTAGGCTGTGGTGACTGTGAGCATGGAGACAATGATAGAAAGGGGAATGGTCCTGCAAGAGAAAAAGAGGGAAAAACATGATACACAAAAACCTGCTGCTACCAAGTATATGCTAGTTATATTTAGTCTTTCCTCCTGACCACAAGGCTGTTAGTGTGTTACAATTTCATTCAAGGCAAGCAATATTCATTTTTAATTCTATACTTTCACTCTCATTTAAACCTAGTACTCAGTTCTCCAGTCTTCCAAGCTACCCGCATCCTGTCATCTATGCTGGTGATTTCAATTGTCAACACACCAACTGGGGCTATCGAAAGAGTACACAGGAAGGCGAGGCCCTAGCTGACTGGGCATCCATTCAAGGTTTAACTCTGCTGTTCGATAAGAAACAAGCCAACACGTTCTTCTCTGCCAGGTGGCAAAGTGGAACAAACCCAGACTTGGTGTTTTTCAGCTCAACAAACAACCACATGCCTTCACCACAACGCTCAGTGCAGAGCAGATTTCCGAACTCGCAGCACAGACCAGTAGTCACTTTCCACCCAGCACTTGTGACACCAACTCCAAGTCGTCCATCTGCTCACTGGAACTTCCGAAAAGCAAATTGGACCGAATTCACCAAAGAAACCAGCTCCTTTCCGCTTAAACTTCCAGATCCAAACTCAACTGATGTTAACGACTCGTACTCAAGGTTCTGCCATATGATTATCTCCACATCTAACAATCATATCCCAAGAGGTTTCCAAAAGATCTACGTTCCCGGCTGGGGCGAAGAATGTACGAACTTAGCCTCTGAACTTGAGTCAGCAACCACAACAGAAAGAGCGCAATCCACCGGCTTGGCTCTAATAGAATACCTGGATAACAAAAGGAAACAAGAGTGGAACAACACGGTCTCTGAAATAGACATGAAGCACTCCAGTAGAAGAGTCTGACAAACCATCAACCGACTGACTGGCCAAAGCCATTAACCACAAATCCAAAACCAGGTCAAGGCAAAAACGTCGCAAAGGTGCTTGTTGACAGTGGCAAACCAACCCACATAGACAAGCAGTTTGCCAGGAAAGTTAAACAAGAGATTCACGACAGCTGGCGAGCCAGCTCAGCAGATGATAACAGTCACAGCAGCTTCACCTATCCTGGACCGATTGCAGCGATTTCCACCCTCGAGGCAGGCATTTTTCAACAACTGCCTATTACTAAACAAAATGCCTAAGATCTGGAGAACAGCAAAAGTCATCTCTATTCTTAAACCAAACAAACCACTTGAGGACCCAAAAAGCTACCGGCCAATCAGCCTCCTCTGCATCACCTTCAAGCTTATGGAAAGGCTAATATACAACAGAATAAGCTCTATCGTAGACCCGCAGCTCCCAAATGAACAGGCAGGTTTCAGGCCAAATAGATCAACAACCGACCAGGTCTGCTGTATGGTCCATGATATCGAACAATGCTTCCAAGAAAAAAAGAAGGCAGGTGCTGTTCTTTTGGATATAACAGCAGCTTATGACACGGTCTGGCATAAAGGACTCATACTCAAACTGCTTCGTTTCATCCCAAACAAGAAAACGTCCTCTTTATCCAAGGACTAATCTGTAACAGATCATTTACCTTAACACGGTGCAACGACACCTCCAGGAAATTTTACCTTAAGAATGGCGTCCCACAAGGCTCGGAGCTGGCACCAATGCTGTTTAACATCTACACAGCTGACCTGCCATGTACAACTGCCAAAAAGTACATATACGCAGACGACACCGCTATTATGCATTGTTGCTCCACAGACATCAAAGCAATAGAAACTACACTATCGACTGACCTGAACAAGCTGAACTGCTACTTCAAAGACTGGAGGATAAAACTTAGCATCACCAAGACAGTGAGCAACATTTTCCACCTCACCAATCACCTTGCTAACATAACAATCAACGTCAAGTGCGAAGACAAAACTATTCCATTTGAGAAAAGCCCGAAATATCTAGGAGTAGTCCTTGACCACTCACTGACCTTCAAGCAACATCTCGAACAAACAGCAGCAAAAATCCAAGCAAGGAACAACCTCCTGCGAACACTAGCTGGCACTATCTGGGGTGCAAATTTCACCGTCTTATGCACCTCTGTGCTTTCTCTAGCCTTCTCGGTAGCTGAGTCTGCTCTCCTGCCTGGCACAACAGCAGCCACACGAAGAAGGTAGACACAGCCCTGAACAACAGCATGCGCATTATCACCAATTATCACAATTATCAACAATGGTGCTTTTTGTTCGTTATTCTTATGCTTTTTGTCACGTTATTTACTCAATTACTTGATTATATGTTATGTTATGTTATGCTATGCTATGTTATGTTATGTTATGTTATGTTATGTTATGTTATGTTATGTTATGTTATGGCTATTGTGTTACTGTCTATTGTCTTATCTTCTGTCCTATTTATATACTGCACCTGAGTGACTAATGAGAAACACTTTTCATTATACTATGCACCTGTGTAAGTTTAATGACAATAAAGTTGAATTGAATCACCGGGTGCATTAGACCTACGCCCACTGAACTGCTACCGATTCTCAGCGGCATCTCTCCACCAAATCTTCGCAGAGAAGCAAATTGCTCAACCTTGCACTGAAAGCCTCAGATTACTCCAACCACCTGCTGCATGATGCCATCTGCAACCGTAACACCACGATCCTCCGACTAGAAAACCGGCACTCACCTTCTAACACAATGAGGTGCCTTATGAAAGAAGCAAACATCGACAATGGCACTAACAAAAAGTGGCAAGACGCGTGGAATAATAACAACCACAGACTGAAACAGTTTATCGACAAAGCATCTAACAAACCCACTGGAAATGACATACCCAGACAAGCCTGGGTCAAGCTGAACTGACTAAGAACCGACTAATGGCCGTTTCCGGGCCACCCTACACAAGTGGGGTCTCACTGATGACCCAATCTGCGAATGCTGCGACAGCAAGGAGCAGAGAGACGGCCGACCACATTCTATACTCCTGCCCTTGCTTCAGGTGCCCTGGCAACTTCACCGATTTGGATGATGCCAGCCGCGACTGGCTGAGGCACCTGAGTGTGACAATATAACTATGTAACTTCTGCATGTTAAGCTCATACGAATAATAATAAATAAAAAAAACTCTCAGTTAAATATTTCTTAGACCTGCAATGATACTGAAAAAAGCAAACTTACTATTGAATTACTTCTGCTAGCAGCTAAAAGGAGCTGTCTTCCAGGTGCTACTGGTTTATTACTCCAGGAAAGACAGGACAGTGCTAACAACGCCAGCATTAAAGGAGGTAGGGTGGAACTCTGCAATGTTTCATGTATTAAGCAGCATTATTTTAAGTTGTTGAAAGGCTGCACAGGCATCTCTTGCAGTTTTATGTGATGAGTTTTGCAGTTGCATGGTAAAAAATACAAAATTCAGTTAAACCTGCAACTCATAAAAGAGCATAAACTGTATATATCCAATCATGTTGCCTTGTGAAACCATAACTTTGTTTTTGCTTAATTTTCTAAGATTGAAATTAGACAAAAAATGGAATTGATTGGTTACCTATTGGGATCAATGACCTCCTCTGTGACAAAATTCAAATAAAACCTTCAAAGAGAAAGAGAAAGAGATAGAAAATCCTTAGATTAGCTACTCAGTTGTCTCAGGTCACATTCAGGTTCTGCAGTAAAGTTGGGTAACGGTGAGACTAATGGCTCAGCAGTTCCTTTACATCCCAGGATCTTATACTCAGAAAACAAAGACAGTATAATTAATAAGATTTTCATGCCAAAGGCTGTAATACAATTCATAAAAAGGACATTTGATACATTAAGATTATGCTAAGCATTTGTAGATTTATAAAACACAATACCCTTAAAAGGTTACAGGTTAAGAATGTAAAATCAGAAACAGAAAATGTGATTCAGTTTACAGTTAATACTCAGATGCATTTTGCAGATAAGTTTGTATACTATAAAAAATTAACAAGAAAGAATGTATTTTATAAAAGGTAGGAAGGCTCATACTTGTGTTAAGAGTTGCTACCAAAAGGACTGTTTCTAATGGTACTATTGAGGTATGATGCACAGCAAAAAAACAATTCAATAATGAGTGAAATTTTCCAAAACTAGTGTGTACTGTACAACCATTGAAGTCTTGACTTCCACAAACTTGTGTCCATCTAAATTACACATAAGGAATGCAAGCCACAAAGTCAGCAACTTGTGTATCTTGTCATAGTGACGATCAAACAGATGCTTTGCAGCTGCCATCTGAGAACAGTTATGGGGGGCTCTGTCCCTGATCCAGCTGTGTTTGCCAGTGCTGTTACACATAGATGCCTTAAACAGGCTCTTTCAATTACCATTGTCTGACATTGAAATTTCTTAGAAAACAGAAAAAAGAAACTGCACTTTTGAGACAACAGTTTCGTGGAACATTCTGTCTTGAAGCAAACCCAACACTTCATTGCATTCATCAATAGATGATCATGGCATCATTATGTATAGGACAGATACTCCCTTGCTAGGCATTTATGGCTGCTCAACTATTTTAGTTGTTGTACCTTATGTGCTCTGATGAAAAATACACTTTGCACATGCAGCTCAAAGAATGAATGCTTGAATACTTTTCTTTGTCACGAGCTGTCATGTGAAAGTTGTGTTGTTGTAGTACCTAATACATGTGAACCACAAAAATTAACTGGACCACATATTTAGAAATTTGCCATGTTTGTTTAGTACAGTTTGTTTTGGAGGGTGGGGGGGGAGGGGAGAGTCTATATGCAGTTAAAAACTTAATATCAGCACACTATGCCCTTATTTCACTATTCAATGTATTTTATATAGCACCTTTCACAACAAGGTTGCCCCCAGGCACTTAACAAAACTGTGTGACAATACATGACATTACAATACAGAAAGAGAAAAAGTCAGAAGACAAAGGAGAAAAAATACCTCTAGGTGTCCAAGGTCAACAGGCTGCCTAACCCCTCTGGGCTTTCTAAGATTATACAATTCATAAATTCAATTTGACTAGAACATCTCATTTAACCTTTGCTAATATGAAGTTTTTGAATAATTAAGAAGAAATATCACAGGCAAAAAAACATAGATTAAGAAACAAAATGTATTATTCTCCATAAATTACTGCATTGAGTTACAGTGACAGGAAGTTAATACTTCAGTCAAATAAGGTCACTACTGACTGCATTCTTTCTGCTTTTGAGAAAAAAAATTGAAAAGGGGCACTGAAGACATTTTTTAACAAAAATTAGCAGCTTGGCTCTGAATCACAAAACTCCATGAAAGTTCAAATAAATTAGGGTATCCTTGATTTAGAGCTCTTAACGCACTCTCTTCAATTATGTGGAAACTATCAAAAGAGATTAATGAATATTTTTAAAGTATTTACTGAACCTAGTTGGGCCATATGGGCTCCTCTCATCTGTAACCTTTCTTATTCCTGTATGGATTCAATGTCTCTTTAAAGCAACAGCCCCTGTAGTTGGTAAACTGCTCCAGTTAAACCAGTATGTAGTTGATTGGAAGGAAAACCCTCAGACGCACCTTCCATCAAGGAACAGGATTTTTACATCCCTTAATCAAGGGATCATTGCCTAAAAGGCACAAGTTGCCTACTTACACAGTAGTTGCTTAAGACAGGTAATTTAAGTAGGGTGCATCACTGTGAGACCTCCTTTTTTGTAGTTATCAAAAGAGCTATGAACTTTACATTTACGCACGACGTTTCTGTCTGTTATGTAGTTTAATGCTGCCTTTGAAGGGGAAAGTCAGGGACATTCTGTGTGAGGTTCATGAACTATTCGAAAAAATGAAAAAAAGCAGAGCTTAAAAAAGAAAGACTTATTAATAACTCACTTATTGGAAAACCACGTTTTGATTATGAACACCAGCTACAGTGATGTATACATAATAGTTCAGATGACATACCATCCTGAGTACGCATACAGTCCTGAGAAGAAGGCCAGCGGCACCTTGTCAAGGGCCAGAGAGCTGCTGTCAAAGGCGTCCTTGAAGTTCTCTGTCTGTCCTGAAGAGGGCGGCAAAGTACACCACTCAAACAGCGTTATCTTCTGAATGTATTGCAGTTGCTGCTAATTTTTTAAAAAAGTTTTTAGATCCTTTAAATTTGATTTTTTCTTAAAGCAAGGTGTCTTAAAACCTTTTGTCTCATGGAATTTGAGTATTTTGTCTTCAGTATATTACTTCCAGATAAAAAAAATATATTAAATACCTCACATCCTTTCTGCAAGAGGGTTTTCTAGCATAATTCTCAAATGATAGCCTTAAGGAATGCTGTGATGGTCTGTAGCTTCTGACTGAAAATAACTGACAATAGCATGTGGGGACTGGAGAAGGGAATGGCTGCCTTGTAGAAATATGACATAGGATTTCTTTTTTTTCCTGCAATGTAATGTGAAATGTCAGAAAAAAGGTTATTTCTTAACTCATAAGCAGTGCATTAATTTTGTGATTGGATTAAAGATCTAAGGACACATGAAGCTCCCAAACTGTTGTATTCTTACCTCTGGCGAGGGCGATTATGCCTGGGATTATAATCAACACCAGGGATACCATCTTCAGTAAAGTGAGGGTGATTTGTGTACGCGATGCCCAGTTTACACTCCAGCAGTTGACAGCCACAACAAAAGCTGAGGGGAGCAGAGAGGGCAGAGAAGTTTAGACTGAAAAGGACTGACAGCTTGCTCAGATCATTAGGCCCACATTAGTCAAATAGAGCAAACAGAGCCCAGAGCAGAGATTGTTTAGCACAGGCCTTTGTACAGGTTTTAAAAAGAATTTTAAATCCCCGGAAAATGGATTTTCAGTCTAAAGACCTTGAAATAGAGAAATTCTTCACTGAATCAAGTGTAAAAATGAACTGATTCACTTAAATCAAAAGAACTCACATGGAATGAAATTCAGAAGGCCCTGTTGGCCATTTGTTTTACAAGACCAGATTAAATTATATTTGACCCCCTCCATTGACACAATGAGAATGCACTATTTGACGGCAGCTTTGTTTTCTCCAAAGGCTTCTTGCTTCTACCACGTGGAAACCTACCACCAGGTCTGGACTAAAGGATTTGTGATGTGGGGAAGGGTCTTAATTTTGATATAATACACTGAAGATGGAAATTTCACTGTCATTCAGAAAAGGAGTCTTCTGAAGGAAATTATCAGCTTTTATTGAAAGACTGACATGCACTTATGCGTTTTTTGCAGTACATTTTAATGGATTATTCCCAGCATACAAATTCATCATCAGATGCTGGTTGAATCAGAAATCTGGATTGATGGGGAAGGGGTGGAGGGGTATTATTCTTTGTGAGGTGTTTTTTTCTTCCCTCAGCCTGAGAAACATTTAAAGACGTGAATCCCATATTACTCACTGACACCCAGGATGCTCATCAGTTTCACCAGGATGGTGGGCGCTGGGCATGGGGTGAACAGGGGTTCCACAACATAGCGCCCAAATGCCAGGGCCACCACAGAGGTCACAGCAGGCCTGGAAAGAGATCACAGGGAGATCAGCGGAGGAGCTGTTGGACATAAGGAAGAATCTGCTAATGTAACAGATATACAGAGACATTTGTGCATCTTTGTGATGTGAACCTGACTTTATGAACTCTGGGAATTATCACAAAAGAAAGTAAGATCAGTCATTAACTGGAGGAGGTCTCTCTGCTTGTTTTGTTTGCAGCAGTTAATCAGTAAGGGAATTTCATCCACTCTTCATCTTCATCTAAAAGCTGCCTAGGCGTCAGTTTCAGCACTGCTGGTTAGCACTCAGAGGCATTTGTCCAGAGGTGCAAACAGGCATCACTGCCTAAACTTTATTAACTTCTTAAAAAAATGAAACATTATGCAATGCTTCAATAATCAATCTACCCTCTATCTCTCAGCAGCAGTCTTTAATCTCTAATGGGCCAAGCTGTCAAAGCTCTGAGCATAGCGAATCACATCACATAATTCCTTGCTTAAAAATGCTTATTGATATTAAACTGTAAAAATAAACTAGAAAAGAAAAAAATGAATAACATGAATGTCATAAATCTCCGAGGCAGGCTTCAGGATCTTCAAGGCTCTGTTCAAAATCAAATTTCTCATCCATCTCATTTCAAGGGATAGAAAATCTGAGATATACAGTACAAGCTTTTTAAAATTGCAAAATATAACATTAAAATTAAGTACTGAATAAACACTATCGATGGGTAAAAAATATTTATCTCTGCAGTTCCACGTAATAGATGCATTTGTCTTAAATGTGAGTAATAGGTTTGTAGTTTAAAATTTTAAGGAAGACACCACTGAATTAACAGAGTACCATGAATTAAATTCATGTAATTATTGGATTAACTAGATCCAAGTGTTTATTGTGATGTTGTGATATATGTGATCCGAGTGATTGAAGGTGCAGGTACTGTACAACTGTTAAAGGCTAGATGTAGCTTTATATGTTTTTTTGTTCTTTTAAAAAATGCTAGATCTATCCCCATTATTTTTAACAAGTGCTTGGCTGAATGGAAGTCGGAAAATCTAGTTGCACAGACCCATCTTGACATTGCTGTCAAACGCAGAACAGGATGTGAGCAATGTTCTTGCTTTTCAGAAAAGAAAATGTTTCCTGTGTTCTGTGACCAGAGTCTGACCTATTTCTGCTCATTACCACGGAGGTGAGGCTGACCTGATCATTATAAACTCTACCCAGAGGCGCAGGAAACCTGGCAGGGGCCCCAGAGTCTCCAGGAGGTAGATGTAATGGCCTCCAGATTTCTTGAAGCTTGTACCCAATTCTGCATAGCAGAGGGCCCCTGGAAGGCACAAGCAAAACACGTCAGCCACACAGAGGTGTTTTCACAGATCTCCTTGTTACTGGGAACAATTCAGAAGACATCAAAAGAAAGAGTTGTTCTTTTTTGTCTCTTCCTTTTTCAACAAAAGACTTTCAAATTCCATGTGATTTTTATTTTTAAGCAACCCAGATCTGACGTTAGCATTGATTGAAAATGCACCTGGCTCATGAGTAGCCCAGCCCCATTATCAGCAAATGAGATGTAAACACAACACATATCTGTTTCCAAAATAATAATAATAATAATAATAATAATAATTGCTTACACTTATATAGCGCTTTTCTGGACACTCCACTCAAAGCACTTTACAGGTAATGGGGACTCCCCTCCACCACCACCAATGTGCAGCATCCACCTGGATGATGCGACGGCAGCCATAGTGCGCCAGAACGCTCACCACACATCAGCTACCAGTGGGGAGGAGAGCAGAGTAATGTAGCCAATTCATAGATGGGGATTATTAGGATGCCATGATTGGTAAGGGACAATGGGAAATTTGGCCAGGACGCCGGGGTTAGACCCCTACTCTTTTCGAGAAACACCCTGGGATTTTTAATGACCACAGAGAGTCAGGACCTCGGTTTTACGTCTCATCCGAAAGGACGGCGCCTGTTTACAGTATAGTGTCCCAGTCACTATATTGGGGCATTAGGATCCACATGGACCGCAGGGTGAGCGCCCCCTGCTGTCCCCACTAACACCTCTTCCAGCAGCAACCTCAGTTTTTCCCAGGAGGTATCCCAAAATGTGCACCATCTGGCATTCCAGTCTCTTTCAAGGCACAAGCCCACAGCACCAAAAGCAGAACTATTGAATGAAGGAGAGATGAACCTGTCACTGATTAATCTGCATGCTCCCAGGTGCATGGCAGGCCATATGCCGGCTTGACTAACTTCAGACCCACAGATCCCCAACAGTATCTGGCCAGTTGCTTCCCCTGGGAAACTTCAGTCACAAATTACTGAAAACAGAGCCCAGGTTCTGGACTGTTTATGATGTGCAAAAGTCACTTGAGATTGACTTGACACACCAGAGAGTCACTTGACACACTCTTGCAAGTCCACAAAGGCATTTTATTTAATTCCAGTGGCTCTGGATAGTAGGTTTAACTGATGCCACATTAACCAGACTTTATAAAAAGCCTGGAATATATCCTGATGAATATTGTTTTTTGTGAATATTTTTGTAAAAATGCTCTATGAAGTATCCGTAGTGGGTTAATCACTCTCTTTCTCTCTTGGCCTGGATTCATAGAGAAAAGTTAAAGTCACATGGTTGTAAAAGTCAATTCACCAGTTTAGAGAGAGATCTTCAAGTCAGTGAGTTAACCGGAGAAAAATGACTTATGGTCCAGTTTATATGTGGCGACATTAACAGTTTGTGATTGGCCAAGATGCTATCAGATTTGGTTCTGGTACCCACCTACAGATCAATTATTGGCAGATCTGTGATTGTTGGGAATGATTCAACCTGGAGACGTGCAGGAACCCATCTGCACTATACATCACAATTTTATGAGGTCTTTTATCAGAGGGGCCTATTCACCACATTCCTCTGCATTTAGGGAGAGGCACCAGGCTGCTTGGTCAAGGCATAGAAATAATTAATAACACTTAATTAATAAAGTGAAATAATAGAGCATCCTGTAAACTACAACTACAAACGATCCAGCAGCCATATCACCCTGCAGCTCACCACTGGTAGCCCACTGAAGCTAAGCAGGTGTGAGCCTGGTCAGTACCTGGATCGGAGACCTCCTGGGAAAAACTAAGGTTGCTGCCGGAAGAGGTGTTAGTGGGGACAGCCGGGGGCGCTCACCCTGCGGTCCATGTGGGTCCTAATGTCCCAGTATAGTGAAGGTGACACTATACTGTAAAACAGGCGCCGTCCTTCAGATGAGACGTAAAACCGAGGACCTGACTCTCTGTGGTCATTAAAAATCCCAGGGCGCTTCTCGAAAAGAGTAGGGGTGTAACCCCGGTGTCCTGGCCAAATTTCCCAATGGCCCTTACTGATCATGGCCTCCTAATAATCCCCCTCTATAAATTGGCTACATTACTCTGCTCTCCTCCCCACTGATAGCTGATGTGTGGTGAGCGTTCCGACGCACTATATCTGCTGTTGCATCATCCAGGTGGATGCTGCACGGTGGTGGTGGAGGGGAGTCCCCATTACTTGTAGAGTGCTTTGCGTGGAGTGTCCAGAAAAGCGCTATATAAGTGTAAGCAATTATTATTATAACAAAAATACCTTTTCTGTTTTGAAGGGATATGCATAGTTAAAATTAACAAACCTTTTATGTTTCTGATACAAGCTTTTTACATCTCATGGCCAGAATGAGAGGTGAAATCATTGTTCCATTTTTTGTCACCTTGGCTAAATTTGTTAACAGCACCCTTACTGCTTAAGGATTTCCATTTATACAGTATGTTAAACATGTTGAAGCCCACAGAACAATGGTGGTGTTCCACAGGTGAACAACAGGATAATTTTCTTGCATAGTGTTTATAACATAATGGTTCAATGCTTTAACATGTAGCTAAATCCACCTTTTTATGATTTTTCATTAGTCAAGAGAGCAAAAAAAAAACTACATTTTTGCAACTATTTTTATAATTTAAATCAAAGGAGAACAACCTGAACACTAGACTAGAACTACCATACAAAGTCTGCTGGTATCGCCACTCACCGAAGGTGGACAGTATCCCAGAGAGCACCCAGATGATCAGAGACAAACCCACGTTGCCACTGTTCTTGAGAACACCTTTGGGAGCAATGAAGATCCCACTGCCCACCACAGTGCCGATGATCAGACAGACAGCTCCCAGCAGGTCAATCTTCTTCCTCAAGTAAACAGTTTCAGCTCCTGACTTAGCTTCACTTTTATTCCCCTCCATGTTTGCAGAATTGCTCCAAGGAAGAACATGCACTCACACTCCAAGGCTGTGTTTTTTGGACTATGTGCTGCACAGTCGCCACAGTAACCTATTTTGGGCCAAAAACAAAGGAAGCAGTCTTCTCGAGTTGCTCTCGCATAGTTAATCAGAGACGTCTGAGGGTCAAACTGCTGCCTGTGTGCGCGCAGCTTGTTGAGAGAGAGAAGGCCACCCAATGGAAAACAGCTGCCTGACACTACAGGCCCCCACCTCCTTTTTTATTCCTCAAATACTGTATCTGTGGACTGAATTTGGGCACTGAATTCTGAGAAAATATTTTTCATTAAATAGGCCTAGGGAAGGATCGCAGGATTTCTTTTAAAAAATCAAAATCAATGACAATCACAAGTCATGACATGTTTTGTAAACAAAATAAAACCTGTCAAAAAATTTATATTTGATGGAAGATGGCTTCATATATTTCCTTATTACACAAAGTCCTTACTATCTTTACAGAGGAGGATTTTTCAAATGCACAATCATTATTTTATTTTTACATCCACATATTTGGATTCACTGTGAGCCTTGTACCATTACAAATGGGAACAAGGGCTTTCCTTCAAGATGTAATTTTATTAAGCCATCATGCTCCGAGTACCACAGAGTCAATCAGAAACTTAAAGTCAATCTCACTAACATTACTGCTCAAAATACTATCGTTTCTTCCATTGTGTGTGTATCTCTCATTATTAAGCCAGTATCTCCAATAACATCCTCAGAGCTGGAACACAGCGTGATTCTGGCTAACATGCGACAATGAAATGCACATTGTGTCTTACAAAAGTATCCACCCCCTGCCAAGAACAGGGGAAATTAATGTGCGTTAAGAAGGACAATGGCCTGGATAGCAGAAGGCTGTTTGCCACAGACACTCAGGAGTGTAATTTGGCGCCAAACGTTAATAGTGAGGGGCTTGCGTGGACTGCCTGAACACCGGCAGAGCGCTTCGTTTCCGTAACCACGGAGCAAGCGGTGTGCTGGTGTATAGTCGTATCGTAAGGCGTCTTCTCCGCTATATACTGTACAACGAAAAGTCTTTCCACTAAAGGGAAAATTATACTTCGGTAACCACTTCGCTACAACGCTGGTTCAGAGCTTGGACCCCATCCGCGCGCTCGCGGGGATGTTAAATAGCAAACCTGTTAAGCCTCAGGTGCTGTAGTTACAGTAGCTGTGCATTCCCTAGCGCCGCGGAGTACGGAGTGCAGAAAGAGCTGTGTTCCACTGTCACACCTGCAAGAGAAAAACTGTCTAGTACTGATTAACCCAACAGAGAAAACAAATCTTGAGTGCTGAGAGATTTTGATTTCATATGTACAAATATTTTGAACTATACACTGTAGTTTAAATTGGCCAAAGAGGCTGATTTATGTTTATATAAATGTTTGAGTTATTATTGCCTTGATTAATACAACTACAAAATATATAATTTAAGATCGAATGATTAATTACAGTATAATTACAGGACAACTCCAGAGATTTGACACTGTATTTGAACGAAAAGAATCGGTATATCATGTGCAGATTACACATGACAGCACACAAGTAAAGTATCCAGAGTAGGTTTATACTTACCCCAATGTTCACATAATCTGATTAAAAGTTCTATCTACAATTGTATAAGACCAATGTCTGTATCTGTTCCCACGCCTAGAGCTGTCATATTCAAACTCCCACAGAGACATTAATTGATATCAACACAGATTTATGTGCTTGAGTGAATCACTACAGGCAAGCAAAAACAAAAAAATACTGAGTTAATCAGTTATATTTATTTCTGCAATTAAGTGGAGTTTTGTCATTTTCATTTTGGAATTTTTAACATTCACATAGTATTTTTAATTCATTTAAAGCCAGTCATCTGAACAACACACTTTTATTCTCCAATAAAGACTTCAGCTGCACCTGACCTGTAGCTCTTAGAGGAAGCACTATAGGAATGCAGTAGATTGCCTGTAAGACAAAAGATGGCTATTTCATATACATTTGCTTAACACTGTACAAAATAGTGAGCAAATGCTAAGACAGACCATGGGATACAGATGGAAATAGCAAGCAGTCTGAAGATTTTTATCCCAAAGTTACTAAATACAGATCATTACAATTAGCCCTAAAAACCTGCACTGCTGTGTTCTGAAGTGTTCTTGAACTGTCACAGAGTATGTTAAAGTGTACACATGATTTCAGACATTAAACCACTCTTTAAAAAATAGAACGTTTTGTTTTAATGTCACTGTCTTAGTGGCATAACATCTGAGCTGTCAGTTAAAACAGGGGAAATGCATAGGCAATAGCTGTAGAATAATTGAATATTTATAAAATAACAAGTAATAGGTTTATTCCATGCTGAAAAAAAGAAGAAAGAGAACACAACGTTTCAACGTTGTGTTCTCTTTCTTCTTTTTTTCAGCATGGAATAAACCTATTACTTGTTCCTTTGCAGCCTACGCATGCTGACGCAGCTACCCACCTGATTTATAAAATAAGTCTATCAAGGGAAATCCTCAAAAGCTGATAGGAAAAACCTAACTTAGATTAATTGTAAGTGTATGTATTGAAGTCAGGATAAATCAGTTATTAAAAAAACTGAGCTTTTGATTGTAGAGGGGGAGAAGGGGAAAAGGGAAGAGAATGGGAGACTGAAAAAAACTAAAAATATCCACTGTCCATATAGTCTAAGGTCTTGCTCCGATTTAGAATTAACAGAAATCATGAAGTAGATCAAGAATAGCTTTTGTGACAAAACTCTAGAAAAATCGGTCAGATTGTGTAAGTACTGCAGTTGCTCACAAAATAAATGTATAAGAAAACCCAAACAGTTAAAAAAATAACAATCAAGTGTGTCAGATTGAGATAGCTGGTGTCCTACTCACGCTCCATCTCCTACTATTCTAGATTCCATGTTATATCACAAATAGTATAGGTTGTGCTAACTTTTAATTTTTTTTTTCTGTTTATCTCTCTATGTGTTAAGAATAGAGGACACAAACGCTACAAAAGTCAAGAGCATCTTAACCTTCCTGCTGCTACAGATGCAGTGCTGTGGAATAGGCTGTGCATGTGATAACTATTCATTGCTGTTTCAACGGTGTCGTGACTGCCAGCTTTAAAGAAACAAAATATCTGATCTAGGGGTCTGAATACTTTTGCAATACTTGGCAGGTATGAAGAATAGCTGGTAGCTCCTGCTGTAATATTTCATATACCAGAGAATAAACAAATAAGAAACATTTATAAAGATAAAATATAAAGTATATTATATTCAATAATATATTTGTTAT